AGGTTACCTTTATTGGCGTAAGAATGGCTTGACGAATCGGTATAGGACACCCTCTATCCCCTTGTGTATAGGCTGCGTGTCATTGTGCCATCGGGAAGCGGGGTTCCTACATCTGTTTGCTGAGTGAATCTAATGGCCCTAACTTGTTAGACGAACCTTTGAAAGGCTTCATAGTGAACCCTGCCGACCTTTCTTAGAAGTGGGTCAAGAGATTAGCTACCTCGGGTGAAAGGATAAATTATGACTCACAGTGAAAGTGTACAACCTCTGCAGAGTGTAAAACTGGTATATCAGCCGTGCTCACGGTCACGAGCGGCCTTGGAACCCTTACGGAATAGATGATCACTAATGGTTAATGATGATGAACATAGATGATATTGATGATGAAGATGCTCACTAATGATTATTGTTTATGCTATTCATTATTCATGTGTACCTGATCATGTGTTTATGGGCTTGTGATAAACTTGTTGCTACTCAATTGCTAAAATTATGACCATTAAAAGCTAATCGCAGTTAAACCAGTGTCAACCTTTTGAGCCTCATGAACCCCATGTTATATTTGTTGAGTACAATATGTACTTACGCTTGCTTTACTTTTTAAATCTTTGGATAAAAATCCTAGATGGGTACCGGATTGCTAGAGTTTGGAGGAATTAGGCTTGTGATCAACCAGTCAGTTGCCCCTGTGGAAGTGGAGTCTTCGCCTGAAGATCAGAGTTGTCTTTCCGTTGTCTATACTCTGAGGTTATAATCTTTATACTATTACGCTATGTATTTAAGCATTGTCTTTTGATATTACCCTTATTTGTAGCTATATGTGAGATTTGACTTCCTGGGCTCACATATGGTGTGTATCTGGTTTTGTTCTTAAAACCTGGTGCTACAATGTTGTGTTGTCCATTCCCCGCACTCCTAGGCCCTCACATCAGCCTAATGCCACAGCACACCTAACCCCTCTCATCTCTCTCATGTCGTCCCATTCCATCAAAATAAGAACCAAAGAAGGAATAAAGAAGGGAAAACAAGAGAAAGCAGTGAGAAGAGAAGGAAGAAGGAGAAGGAGGACCTCGCTAGAGCATGAGTAGAGATGCACAACGATGAGCTACAACACCATGTTGCCATCGCCTCGCCAAAGTTGGAGGACGTGCCCCAAGTTTTCTTCTTCCTCAAGCTCCCATGGAGGTCCCGAAGCCCAATTTACCCCCTCAAACCTCCCAAAGATGAGCTGCTACACTTGAATACCCTGCTCAACACAGTGAGCGATCCCCAAGCCATCTCCCTGTCCATCTCCCTCTTAATCACCTCCCCTGTGAGCTCCATCCCCATCCATATAAACCACAACCATGAATGAGCTCGAGGTCTCGAGACACCATGCATGACACAGCCAGCACTTAGAACGAGTTGCTACACTTAAAGACCCTCCTCAACGTGATAAGTAATATGCAACAATAGGCAAATTGCCCCCATGGAGGTCCCTTAGAACGCGTCGGTTGGTAATTGATCCTCATCTAATCATCATTTGCCTTCTCCATTGAAGATCGACAACACATGCAACTTCCATGATTAAGGGTGTGTTTGGGTGCTTCAAACGGTTCTGCTTCTCACGTGAATCTAGAGAATCCAAGCCAAACAGCATATAGGTAAAACATTTTTGCTAGAAATAGTCTCGAATGATTCTCACTTTTTTGCCTACAAACGTGAATCTGTGAAAACATGGTTTTGTAGTGATTCTGGTTCTACGTCCAAACAGTCTAGTTATTCTAATTCTCCATACAAAATGTTTTTACAAATAATCTAGATTTGAAATGTTTCTACGAGAATATGGATTCCTGTGAAACAGGCCCCAAGTCACCGGCATTGGATTCCTCTTCACCCCAACATTTCTTAATTAAATACTCATCATCCATGGAAACCTTCTAAAATGAAAAGAACACCAAAAACGTTGACAACATTGAACTAAATTAACTACACATGAATCATATTTGAGCAATGTTGTTTACTTTAAACTATGAACTAAAATACACAGAATTAAAACAAGATATGAAAATGGGAGCAATTTTTCACCTTGAAGAGGTGAGCTGTGAAGAAGGCACATGGGCAGAGGCTAAGCTTGAGGGTGGTGGAGGAGGCTTGCTAGGCAAGGGGACATTGGGAGGGAGGCCTCTGTGTTTGAGGGATTTATGTCGAGAGAGGTTGTGGCAGGCTTGTGAGCAAGGGGAAGCTAGGCATGGGGCCACTGGGAGGGAGGCCTCTGTGTTCGAGGGGTGTATGTCGAGAGTGGTTGTGGTAGGCTTCTGAGCAAGGGAAAGCTTAGTGCAAGGCCTCTATGGGTAGAGGTGCAGCAGTTACACAAGCCGCTAGGAGAGTGTTGCCTGGCTAGGGGGTCTTGGGAGAGGGACACCAGCGCTAGGGGACAATAGGAGAAGGTTCCCGATGGAGGAGGATGCCGAGAGAGGGATACCAGTGAGGGGGTGCTAATGCCTAGGAAGGGGCCATGCCTAGAGAAAGGGCCACCATGCTAGGATTCAAAGAGCAATGGGACAGACGGAGACCATGACAAAGGTAGCTCGCCGCTATATCTTGGGACCACAGTCAAGCTAAGCGACCGACAATGGCCCAACACTACTAGAAACATCCACTTCTATGATGAATAGCTTTCGTCACTGAAGGAGCCAAATTCATCATAATTTCAGTTCTATGATGAATTTATGATGATAAATGGTTCGTCACAGAAGTCGCATCACACTTGAACTTTTATGACGATTTTCACAAATCATCATAGAAGTGGCTTGATCTATGACAAAAAACAGAACATCATATAATTGTTTTGGCATGCGTGGCAGGGGGGCTACCACGCTGGTAGGTGCTTCCATTGGAGATGCTTTCCACATGTACATGCTATAACCGGTTGCATTGGAGATGGTTTGGGCACGTGACACCTTCTTATTGCACAACATGGCCATCTCTAGTTCTTGCATGTTTTAGGTTCTTACTGGACCAGGTGTCGGTTCCCTGTTGTTCCACATGTCAGTTTTCTACTAGCACACGTGTTGTCACTACTAAATTTTGACCCTGTTGCACCGGTCAATTTTTGATGTTATAGGTCTAAAATAGATGCAATAGTTCGGTTTCGCATCAATTTCTCGTTTGATGCCAGCCGATGCAAGTGGTCTTGATGCAATAGCCTTTCGCATCGGTTACTTGTGGTTGATGCGAGAAGCAGCTATTGCATCGTCCATCCGTTGTCTCTTGCATCAAAATTGAGAGATGCAATAGCTTATTGCATCCAAATCATGTTGATGCAATACATCTATTGCAACGGCTATCGTTCGATGCAATAGACTATATTGCATCCATATTAGGTTCGATGCTATATAATCTATTGCATCACCATTTTGATTCGATGCAAGAGGTTCTATTGCATCATCATTTTGGTTCGATGCAATAGGAACTATTGCATCGACGTTATGTTCGATACAATTCGAACTATTGCATCAACATGAGGTTAGATGCAATACAAACTATCACATCGACATGAGCTTGGATGCAATACAAACTATTGCATCGACATGAGATTTGAAGGGCAACTAATTATTGCATCAAATTCATTGCACAAAAATTCATAAAATTACAAAATTCAATGGCACAAAAAGGCAATCATATTAATAACTTAGATCATAAGCATCCAATAGTTTGTACAATGTAAGGAAGTCAAATGCCTTCCTATTTCCAAATAGGTAATTGCAAAGTTGAACTGCATTACAAACCACTAACTTATGCTACAAATAGGCAATCATAAACAAAAATACATGTCTCTTAGCACAGATCAACATGACATCTTTCTCGTTGCACAATATTTGATTCATTTCAGCTTGCCACGACTCCCTCAAGGTTGATCTTCCTGAAAAAGTCAAAATGATATGCATTAGTAATATATATAGTTGATCATTAAATATAGACGAAAAAAACTAATTGCACAGTTTAGTTGGAAATTGCGAGACGAACGTTTTGAGCATAATTAGTCCATGATTGAACACTAATTGCTAAATAAAAACGAAAATGCTACAGTAGTCAAATTTCCAAACTTTCCCCAACTAAACAAGGCCTCAAGCATTCTGGGACAAGTTTTGAGTTATAGAACGTCAAAGAATTATGGGACGGAGGGAGTAGTCTGTACAATATAATGAAGTCAAAGGGCTTCCTATTTCAAAAAAGTAATTACAAAGTTGGAACTGCAAAATAGACCACTAACTTATAGAATTAAACAAATATATATGACACTTAGCACAAACCAGCATTGGATCTTTGTCATTGCAGAATCTTTGATTCAGTTCATCTTGCCAAGAGTCCCTCAAGGTTCATCTTCCTGCTCAATGGAAAAAGTCCAAATGACATGCATCAGTAATATATAATGGATCACAGACTAGGCATCACATAATCTTCCAAATGACTGCATGAGTAGAATCATATGCAAAGTAGGCATCATAGAATCAGGTATGGCTGAATCAGGAAAATGGAAGTCCTGAACTGAACCAATGTCACAGTAAAAACAGTCTACAGTTAGCCTGAGAATGCCTTCTCTTCTTCATGCAAGTGTTGCTTGCTAGTTTCTATCAAGTATGTAGTACAGGTATTTGCTGAAATTAGAAAAACATTCAGTCAATACTGTAATCTCCAGTAAACATACATACAGGATGTATACAAACTTCCAGTTAGTAGATATACTCTGATTCAATCTACATTGCTGCAGATCAGATATGAATTAACTGAAGCTACATCAACAATTACTGAAGATTTGTATGCTTGTTTAAATAGCTCACCATTTATGGCATCCATCTCTCATACTTGAGCTTGTCCAGTCTGCACAATATATCTATGATCACTAGTCATCAATCATTGTTATACTATGCTACTAGGAATTGCACTATTACAGTTCAATTGCTAAACAATAGACAGTAATCAAAAGGCGAAGAAAGATGAATTTCGCAACTCTTTACCATCCAGTCATGAAATTCTTTGAAGCCCAGCAGCGGACAACCTTATGGAAAGCCTGCATTTTGAGAGAGAAAAAGGGATGAAAAAATCAACATGAGCTGTTCTAGCTTGAACTTAGAACATGCTATATCATGTTGTTCAACTGGTAATATAAAGGTGTGTCATGGCAGAAGAACAAGTGGCTCACGGTCTTCTCAGCTTTCTATTTTTAAGCGGATCACATAAGCAAAACCGACACTACGCACCATCCAATACTAATATTGAAGCATTTATTAATACATAAACTGCTCTCGGTTCATACTGTTAACATCACATTAATTTAGTTCTCGCTAAAATGAATAGTCACCCATCTAGCATTATTAGTTATGTCAACAGACAACAATTAGATTCAGACTGAACAAGCTGTAAACAGGTGTTGTGTATGCGTGGTCTGGGACCAGCAGTGCCTGAAACAAAGTAGAGAGAAGATTTGACAAGTGCTTCTTACATATAATGCAATTTGCTAGCTAAAGAACTAATATTTTGTGACATGTCGGCAATTTCTAGTATCTTTTTTAAATCTAAATCTAAATGCTAATAATAGTTGTCATGATCTGCAATTCAACAAACGTTCATGATAAAATGTGTGAGGTTATCTTTCTACTCTTTCTAGAACTCTTGCAGCTTCCTTAGTCAAATCACAGTCAGCAACAATTAGCTTTGTCAATGGACCGTGTAGGAGGCAAAGTCATACAATCCAGCATTAATCCCATCCCACAACAGGCCACAGATGGGTGTTCGAGTTAACTGCTAGGAAACTTATCGATACACAGGAAGAAAACAAAGTGCCAAGAAAGGGGAGAGGCGCTCACCTGCCACTGGAGCTGCAGGTACGGCACGAACAGCCAAAAGCCCAAAACACGGCGGCGGCGCCACTGATTCCATTGGTCCCGCCACAGGACACGATGACGCCTCCTTCTAGCCCGCAGACCTGCAACCAGAGGCCACAAGTCAAGCACGACCACTCACCTGTGCGCCGTGGCACGGGGCGGCGGCGACGACGGGGTGAGCTGCCAGCCGGCCACACCTTGGCCTCGCCGTCGAGGATGCCAAAGTTGTGCCGCGAGCTCCTCCACGCCGGCAGCGGCCTCGTGCGGAGGCTCGGTGATGACTGCCGCCTCGGAGTGGATGTCCTCCAGCTCCAGTACTCGCATAGGTCCTCCACCACCTGCTTGCCCTTTCTAGATCTAGATCCGAGAGCCAAAGGAGAGCAGGGGATCTCCACGCTGCCACCTGAATCACCGTGGTCCCAACTGGATCTGCCCCTTGTCGATGGGAAGGTGGAGGGGGAAACGGTGGGGAGGTGAGGTTAGAGGTGGAGGGCCGGCGGTGGTGGGAAGGAGGCTGTGGGAGGGGTCGTGGAGACGTGAGGGACCAGAGGGCTCTGTTTGCTAGGATTACTCGGCGACTTGGCTGACGGGAGTGTATATACGCGGATTAAAATTTGAAGTTTAATAGGTTGGCGGGAGATCGACGCGGATTAAAATTTCATTCACAAAAAACGGTGTGAGATATCCGATTCGATTTTGATTTATTTTGGTGACTTCGATAGAATAAAATAATAGTATCGTAAAGTGGTAAGAAATTTCTAAAAAAATAGCATGAAGACATAAGATTGATGTAATAGGTTCTCATAAAAATTTCAAATGATTTAACAATGTAAAACTATCCATACATTATTTGTAAATAGATACATCTCTCAATAGTTTCCTATAACTCTACGAGGGACCTATCTCTTTGTGAAGAATGTATAGTAGCGGTTTCTTAAAATCATTTTGCAATTTTGGTGGAAAGATTATATACCAAAAATATGTTGTCACGCAAGTTCGTAGAATTTTCTTACCAAGTTTAGATATTATTACAATTATTCTATGTTAATTCTAAAAATAATTGTAATACTATAAATTTAGTCAGGAAATTCTACAAACTAACATGAAAGCATATTTTGGACCCATAAGGTTTCCATAAAAAAATTCTTTTAAATAAGGTGAGGCTATACATTGTTCACAAAATAGATGTATCTCTCAAATAGTTTCATATAGCTACGTGAGAAATGTATCTATTTGTAAACAACGTGCGGTACCGCTTGTTAAACCCATTTAAATTTTTTATGTAATGATTATACACCTAAAATATACTATAATGCAAGTTTTTAGAAATTTCGAACCAAATTTAGATATTATTATAATTATTCTATAAGGTGTCCCTCGGATAATGCAAAATTAAAGTTATTTGATATTTAGCTCGGGTAGTAATAGGACTCAATAGAGGTGTGCTATTGTAACTTTAGTGTAGTATCCTACTAGGGGTAGGACTCCAACTTGCATGTATCCACCATATAAACTAAAGAGCCTTTGGAGGGAACCATATAAACAAAAGGTAGAGACCAATGTATTCACCAAGCCAACTAAAGGGCATCATTCATGCCTTGTAAGGAGCAATTACGAGTACTCAAGAGGATTATGCTAGATAGCTTCACTTCATTAGATTCTTGTATAGGCAAGAACTAGTGGGTCGTAGACGGTCAAGTAGGATTGTGAGAGCGATAATTACTTATACTCTTTTGAAGTTGTGTTTATTGAATTTGTGGTCGGATATGTCAAAATCCTAATATCTTGTCGTGGTTGCTTTAACACCGTCATCTAGAGTTTTCTACATGACTCGACAACATCCTTCTTAATACGGTGCAAGCTTGGTTCATACTCACAATATACTTTAAAACATCTGAGATCTACTGCATATAACTGCTTTGTTGGTCATAAAAACATTATAGTATACTACCTCCGTTTTTATTTACATATGGTACTAGTTTTTTCCTAAATGAAATATTTATCTCCGACGATTGATTTTCAAAAGAAATATATAGCTTCATAATATCAGATTTAGGCTTTTTATATTTGTTATATGAAAAACACTATCATAATATATAATTCATATGTTGTAAAACTATAAAGATTTTTTTTTGGAAATAGCTGGTTATAGATACTCCCTCCGTTTTTTACAAAGTTAATAAGACATCTAATAAAGAGGGAGTAGTAATGTTTGACTTAGGAAAAAATTAATATGATACGTAAAAAAGAATTAGGGAGTATAAGATAATATTGTTTAAGATCCTTCACAAAGCTGCCTTAGTTTTTTGAAAATTGGGAGGGCACTCTGGAATGTAGAAAAAGACAGAAGAAAGAATCGCTTCGCTCTTCAATATTAGATATATTTTAATGCTCAAATATCCTAAAAAAATCTAAAATTTTGTCACGAGTCCAAAAGGGTTTCTTATAACATCATTAAAAGTGACCATTAGTTTACTTGTACCTTTTTTAATGAAAACTTAATAAAATTTTGATTCCATATGTTTGTCTATGAACGATTTAATTATATTTTTTCATTTTTGGTATTAAAAATATTTGATAATAACGACATGTGGTATTTGAATATAAAAAATATTATGTATTGAAAATTTGGCTAGGGACTAAAAAAAATTACAACCTTCTCTAAAAAATTCCATAAAGAAAATCAAAGTTATGTACAAGTTTGTTCCATTTTGTGTTAAGTCCAAGTTGTTGTTTCTAGTCAACTCTCTCATCTTTAGTGAGATTCAAGGTGATTAATAATTAACACATTTTTTATTAAAAAATAATATAATCTTGATTTTAGATGCTTGTCTGCATAAATGATTTTTTTTGGAATACTATGCATTTTAGAATATAAATGTGTCTGTATCAATTTATTGGAATTTTACTTCAAATTTAAAACTACATGTGTTATAGAAAAGTTTATAGATGCCGATCACTGGAAAATCTTCTTAGAAAAATAAAATAAAATTTGGCTAGGCAACAAAAGTTATAACTTCTGCAAAAGTTTTGGCGGCCTAACTCCCGCGTTCTGATTTGTGAAATTGAAACAAATCCTATCTACTCATCTCCGCACCCTCTCATCTACAGTACATCCAGCGCATCTTCTTTGGCTTGACCGCGTTCTGATTTGTGAAATTGAAACAAATCTTTCTCGACTCCCCAATCCTTCGGCGCCGCCCCCGCTCCCTCACAGTACGTGATACTGATCGACGATCCCTGCCCCTCCGTTCCCCCAAGCGAATGCATCGAGGTGCTGGAGCAGCCCGTGGAGATCCAGCGGAGATGAACCCTCTCCCACAAGATCCGCGGTGGCGTGGACCCTCCCTTCTGCGGATCCGCTCGCGGCCATCAAAGACGGCGAAGTTCACCCTGGCTCGCGCCCCGACCGATCAGCATCTGTGCGCGGCTTCGATCCCAGTTCGCTGTGGCCAGGGCGAGATCCTTCACGACCACATCAACCCCACACACACACACACACACACATCTTCGGTGTAGAGTTCTATGTTCTGCAGGTTATTGTTATTTTCCGAACTTAATTTTGGATACGTCCACTTTGATTTGGTAGTGTAGAGTTCTAGTGAAGAATGGCTGCTAATTCAGATTTTTGCCCTCTCGATCTGATTAATCAATCCTGTATGCAGCTTTCTGGTTCTACGAGGAGGTGCCTGCTCCGCTTGAGTAATGAGGACAACCATAAGATGTGTTGCAATGTTTCTGTTGCCTAGCTTATGCAGTTAAAAATTTCCTCGAGCGATGATACATTTCAATATTTCATTATTACAATTATGTGTACTGCAGGGATCTCAAAAAATTATAGCTCTAGATCTTGAAGCTATGTGACTGTATGGATGACTAATTGGCTGTTGTCTGAGGAATCAGTTTTATTGTCCAAGTATGACTTATAAGCCAAACAAGTCCAAGTGAACGGGGCGATGGGCTCGTCGAGGGCCTCCTTTGCTTTGCGCTGGATTCCGCGAGATCCATGTGTTGTATCCGTTTAATCTTTTATCTACTCCTCTGATTTCATTGCTTCTGTGCATGATGCCTGGGAACCATTTCTAATTTTCTATTATATGTTGTGGTGTCCCCTGCATGATGCCAGATCTAAAGAAACTGATTGCAGCGGCATCCTGCTTGTCACAGCTACTCGATGTGAAGGAGTGTGATGCTCTCTGCTCTCTGCTCAGGTCTGATTAATTATTTTTGTCTGCTAGGGCCTTATTCTCTTTTTTTTTTTGGAATTTGTAAGCTGTCATTATTGGACTAACTTTAGTAAAGGACTGTCAGCAGCATAAGTACCTAGATAATTATTATTTTTCAAAGAGTAAAAGATTGAGAGTTGTTAAAAATGTGAATCTCTGAATTTTTAGTTCTGCAGGAACTGTGAATGTCTCTGAATTATCAGTTTTGTGTGATCTCATATGTGTTGCTGAACCGTGGAAATCCTGTTAATGTGAACTGATATCTGTTACCAGAAGCTATGATCACGCTATGGTTTTATATTACCTTTCTTGGACAGCTAAAAAGGTTTTTCTTATGCTCAAACTGACATCTAAAAAGGATGCTTCTGAAATTTGTGCAGGTAATTTTTGGCTGGGGCTTTTAGGATGTTGTGTGGAATGAAGGTTTGGACACTGGGAAGTTTTTAGGCAATCTTTCTTTGCATTGTACCAATCTTTGTGCTGCTTGTGTGTTACTAATAGATTACATTACATACATGTCTTTTTGATGTAGAGTTATAGACTGAGTAATGCCCAACTTCAAGGCTGGTTAGAAGTCTAGCAGTTGCTGTTACAGTATTGTTGCTGCTGCTTCAATAGTTGGAGTACCAGGGTAGGGACATGAGAAGGCTACAACCTTGATTTGAGCATGATTTGCATGCTGTGAATATTTTACACACTCACATATGCTGACATAACTTTTGTCATTTTTTTATAACTATTGATGTGACTCTTTCCACATGTAGCTATCAAACTAAAATAATGTAAGGAGAAAAATAAGGAATATGCATCAGTAAAAAATATACCCAAGTTATATAAAGGCACTATAAATCAGTTTTTTTAAAAATATATTCAAGTTATATAAAGGCACTATAAATTAGTGGATTGAACTATGTCTTTCGTTCTTTTCATGAGTTGCTGTTTTTTCTCCAAGGCTGGAGCTACTTTCTTTTCTCACTTCAAACTGGTAACCCCAGTATGTAAGGACCGCTGTTATTGGCTTTCTTAAAAGCCGAGTTAATCTCCTTTCGAAAAAAAATAGTGGATTGCTGGGAATTGCATGACGATGCTATGCATGGC